CAAAATTCCAGTTTGCGAGCGCAAACTACTGCACGCAAAATTGGATCTTGATAAATCCGGCCCTAAGTTACTGCAGACCTCACCTAAGTGCAGACTTCATGATTCAACAATTAGAATGAAACATGGCAAAAACATGGTGGATTCCTATGACCAATAAAAAAAAAAATCAAGCTTTCAATGTCTCAGGATACCAACCCAACCTCCTCCCTCACACCTTTTGCTGATTGGTGCTAACAGGACACCTCTGAAACTGTAGGGTACCGAGTGTGCCACTGAATGAAGTCAGCAGACAGGAACTGTTTAATTCTACCCATATTTGACAAGTTCAAGGCGTTTGAAGGCAGGATGCCAAATTAGGGCCTCTGCAACTCCACAGCTGAAAGGAAGTGTCCTTCTTGTCAACAGTCGGAGACACACCCCAGAGTCTAAGCTTCTGGAAAACACGACTTGCAGCCACTTTGGACACATAACTGCTGCTTAGCTCAGAACGTCCCTCACATTCAGATTAGCCTTACAACACCTCCTTCTTAGTCATGTAGTCTGCATCTCACTCTCTGAGAGGCTTGTGGTAAACACTTTTAGGATGTTGAGGTTAAACTTCCTCAAAGCAGTCAGACTGTCTCCATAGAAACCAAATAGGTCACTAAACAAAAGTTAGGGTACACTGCTGCAGAGGCTCCAGAATTAGCCAGAATATACTTAGCTAATAAAACAAATAAGCTTTCAGTTTTATCAGTAATCTATTAATACAAAACAATTAAAATACTCCCCTAATGTGTATTTAAGGCTTAACTGGTTTCCTTCTAAGACAAAAGTATTTATTACAAATCAATTGGTGAGAACTTTGGTCTTTCTAGCTGTCTTGTAAGGCAAACAATATGCTACCAGTCCAATAGTTCAATCTTAGGTGCACTCATGCATAGGAACATTACAAATCCAAGAATAAGTACATGCAAATTAACACTTAGTTGACATTTTTTATTATATTTGGGTCAGATTTTGAGCTGAAAGTATAGCCCAAGTCCAAGTCAGCTTTTTAAACTAGTTTTTCATCAAATTTGTCAGCATTAAAACAATATACACTTATTAATTAATAACAACGTTTTTGATAATAACTAATTAACTATTTGTTTATTAATTTTGGACTTGTCAAGCTGAAATATAATTTTTACGATTGGGCTTTTTCAAGGGTGACATTTTGGGGGGGTAGGTGCAAGTGACCCAGTGAGTTGCTCACAATGCTCACAATCACATTCAACTGAATTCTACTGAGAACCATGGGTGGTTCTAGACAGGGGCACCAGGGGCCACTGCGCCTGGAGAATTCATCCTGGCCTCTGTATTCAAGAGATAATGCTAATTATATCTGTTGTGATGCTATGGCACAGAAAGTGTAACTAATTGGTCATTTGGGTATATTTATTTTTTTAACCTTTATAGTTTTATTTCAATAAGGATTTATAAATTTAGTTTTTTTGCACTTTTACTGTCAGTTTTATTGAGACAGGGTGACAGTCTCTTCAGCTATACCTGGAATGTGACTGAGCAGCGAATCGCTCTTTGCTTCTGCGTCCCACTTAAAAGTATAGTGAAGGATTTTCTTTTTCTGGGTGGATCATCTCAATAAGTGGTCCTCCTAAATGTCAGTCATTCTGGTGACATTTTTATGCTAGTTTTCAGACAGTTTCAGACAGTCGTTGAAGCTCACCTTTCTCACCGTGGTTCTATGAAAATGGCCGAGGATTGTAAGACAAAAAAGTGTTTATGAAGAGTATGAGAAGAAAAGAAAGGCCTCCAATGTTGCAGATATATCCCAGAATGCTTTGCTTGGAGAGTTCTCCTTACAAAGCATTATGGGATTTGCTGTCACAGCAGCCTGCTGTTGCCATAGGCTGTCTCTACCCAACAGCGGCGCCTAATAACAAAGATGATGCAGGCACCGCGCAGTGGAGGATAGTTACGTGACCAACGGGGAGCAAAAAGCAGTGATCATCTGTCCGAACAGTAAGTTAACTGAGTTCACTATAAAGTTCACTATATATGCCCCAATCTATATAGTAATTGAGGGATTTAGGAGTTAGAGCAGTCGTTCCGGCACAGTAAGCTTGTCTGAACTATGAGAACAGCAACTTTTAAACAGAGCGCAGACGAGGAGAAATTGGCTCAAGCATACTCTTGCACGTGTTAAAGCTACAGTGTGTAACTTTTAGCGACATCTAGCAGTCAGACTGCAAACTGCAGCAACATGAACATCTCCCCCCCACCGCTTCTCCCCCCCAACAGTACGGCGAGCGTTACGGGACAAAATGTCTTCCACGACGTCCGCATCACCTACCTTCTCAAATCATGAGGTTTG